TGTTGTCTGACGACTTGTTCTCGTCCAATTGTTGGATAAAAGCTTTCAAAATTGCTTTGATAGAAATTGATAAAGAAGGGAGAACAGACTCTTAAAAGAGGATATTGCGCCTTCCTAGTAATGATTGTCGAAGAGAATCGCTGATCACGTTGAAAACAAACGACTTAGTAATATATTTATGTGCTCTAAAATTATGATAATTTTTCGCGATATCTAATAGTTCAACTATTAACATATTCTATGTATTATACACATAAAAGTAAAACAATATTAAAAAACGAAAATCTTTAAGATAATAAATTTAAAGTAACACATTATTAATGCTACATTAGCTGCAAATTTTATTTACAATATTAATGGTGTTTTTTTTTAGTTTTAGATTATTTATAATATAATATCGCAACGGATAATTATTGTAAAATATAAATTCGATAAATTGCATGCTTCAAAATCGTTCCATTTCTACGTTTTTCTCGAATAAAAATTCCCAGAATGATTTTCTAATATTATTTTTAAAAAATTCTTCAATTTTAATTAAGTATTAGCCGTGAAGATACGAACAAGCGAGCACTCAAAGCTCATCGAAAAGAGTCTGCCTCGTGAATTCGATTAAGAAGTTGAGAATGACTGCTAGACGATGATTGCTTTATATTACGAAAAAAAGTCTGAGCGTACGACAGAAATCGAGTACTTTTATTTGTCACTGTCTATATCTACGAGACACAACCGTGTTCTTTATGAGCCTAATAAATAGACGCATTTCGTCTGTATTTTTCCACACGGTCCGTTTTATGCGTTTTGCGAGACAATAAAAATAGTATTTGTACGTGAATAACAATATAACAAATTGAAAAATGAGAATCACTTTTCGACGATTTGACATGTGACTCTCTTTAATACATTCAATATATTATCATTTTTAATTCATTCGTTGGAAAGAACTAAACTAAGTAGATTTAATGACAGAAGCTCTCGCAATAGTCGATTTTATTTGCAGATATTAAACGGCGATCGCGCGTCGATTATTCTAGATAATCGAAGGTAAACTCGTTAACTCCCACGTGTTCCGGTTAAAGTTCACAAAGCTGTGGACTCCTTCAATTAGCGCAAAGTCAGGTAATCATTAGCAAGCATTTAGCCCCGCGAGATCGGGTCGCTCGTGTGCAGATAGTAAAGACGCACGTAAGTCGGTCTATTTGCATGGCCTGAATAAGTTTTGCGCGTTGGATCCGTCAACATGCACGAACATATCGTGCGCCGCGCGACACGTGTAAAATACAAAATAAAATATTCATACGTGAAAAAGCGTAGACTGTAAATAATCCTGTTTAAAAATCAATATTTCATGATGTAATATACGAAAAGTGTTTGTTTTAATAAAAAATATGTTAATGAAACTGATATCGTATGATGATCGGTATGAGATCAATCTTATATATATATATATCGTATAACATAACAAGCAAAGTTGCAACGTCATAATTAATATTAATCTATTAATATGAAATCATTATTGATTAGCGTCATGTTGCTTCATTACGCTTACGTCCTCCGGATACGACTCAATCTAGCTAATTCTAACAAGAATGTGCCGTCAAATATGGATCTCTTCGTGGGCGACCCTAATCTGAAATAATGACCTGGGTGTCATTTGGTCGGTTATTATATAAATTGATCATACATATCCGAGTGATCGAATTTCTTACGTCGGTGTGGATCCAAGTAGAAAAAAATTAATTCGTAGGAGCATCCGACGTTAAATGAGCTTTTGAACAAAACAATAATAAAAGTCATATTTTTGTTTGAGCAAACAAATTTGTCAAAAATATCTAATGTAAGAAGAAATTATTTCATTATATAATGTTCTTTCTTTTAAAGTTGAAAAATTGAAAGTAAGAGAGAAAGAACGGGAAGTTAAGATTGTAATTTGATAAGATCCATTTTACATACGATTTCGTATTTCAAACGAAATTTGTAATACTGAAAATTTTAATTCTAAAGTGATAATGTAGATTTCGTTTGACGTAAACTATTGTTAAGCGTATTCTAAAAGACTTGTTCGGGGTCGTATTGGCGACGCATTAACGAAGGGTTGAAATCGACGAGGCGCTGCTTAAAGTCACATCGACTGGGAAATGGTGCACTTTAACCTATATCGCTGATGATAACGATGGAAAACGAGGCGGTTTTTAAACGAGCCAGATCGCCCTTAAAGCATCATCTCGTCGCCGCAATAGTGCGTCGTATCCTTCCTGGAAGTTAATCTTGGCAATAAATACGGATGCCATAACGAGGTGTATGTTTTCCGTCAGTGCGACATCGTAATTTTCGAAAAGAGATAAGCTATAACCTGAGAAAAGAGCGACGGAGGTAAACGCGATTATCGCGTAAGCTCCATTAAAATTAGTATCTTCATGCTAATTAAGGCTTCAAGCAACGCGCGCGCGAAGATAAGTTTAAAGTGAGTCAACTAATTATAACGCCAAAGAAAATATATATCACGTAAAGTTATTTTCTTTAATCTTCCGCTCTTTCCTCTCTATCAACTTTTAACGTTTTCTTTTTAAATCGTCCATATTTTTCGTAAATATCAAAGATTCTTTGGATATATATCTCGGTCACTTTATTTCTCATTGCAACTTGTTAAATTTTTTAATCTTCTCGCGTTACACAGAAGTACGTTTTACACAAAATGTTATAAGTCATCCAGTAAGAATAGGACATTCTTTCTCTCCGGCTGCCCCGGAGCTAAGAGCGCTCCTCTTCTATCACGTCGCTATTAATCTCACCCTGAGAATACCAGACAAATCGACTACTTCGACCTGTTTTTATCTTCCGAAGGAGGGTATTATGGGTAGATAGATTTCACGATATTAAACATTTCACGTGCGCTATAAATCTGCTCTCTCGATTTACTCGCGCGACAAGATACGCGAAATATTGCCTCCTGTCCGTGATAATATCATCGCACCGAGTCAGTAAAAACGAATTGTGTGCGAAAGTCGTGTGTATTGCTCTCTTAAAAAAAAAAAATCTGCTTTCACTAGTGTCAATCTGTCTATTATTTTATTATTTCTATTATTTTTTCATCTATCTTTATTATAATTTATTATCTATTATTCTATATTATTCTATCATTTATCTTTATTATTTTATTATTGTATTATTTCACGCTCGTCGCGCTTGTCCATAAAGTGAATACCGCATGTCCATAAATATTGTGACTCGACAGTGTCGACAATAAAACTACAACGAAAAATATCCGGATGTGTTATCAATAAAATGCATCGTATATCAAACACAACGTAATGTTTGTTTTCGTTTCAACAGAGAGGATTAAATAAAACTTTCTGATAATATAGTAGTCTTTTTTTTACATAAATGCGGTATGCTCTGCTAACGTCGGCATTATCCGAGAACTTCGATGCAGGATCAATTTGTTTAGAATGCGTAGATTTATATGTGAGATTTCAGAGAATCTGTATACAAAAACTACTCGGATCTATAGAATACCGAAGAGGAAAAAATTCTTTTCACAGGAACGGGTTACAGCCAGTCGGAAAAAATATGGATACGTAAAGCGTACTTGTGAATATAGAGGCCTGGCAAAGTAATCAAGTCTCGCTGCTGCTGCGTAGAAGCACATAATGTCGCTGTTTTTCCGCGGCGAGGAACGAGGCATATAATGAGATTGAACTCGAGTCTGAAACTTTGGATGGCATACTTTCCGGCACTCCGGGGGCTAAGTATGAATATTTGGTTGTTTCACGACGGCAAGCACGAGGAGAGGACTCGAGTTTACGCAATCTAAGAGGATTTTTATGCGATGTTATTTTTGCATCTATAACTGCATAATTGCGTTTTTCTCTGGAACGCGTGACGAATCCGGTCGAAGATGGATCAGGACACAATGTGCATTCGCACAAATTCGTGAAAGATATCTCTTTACCACACCAATTGCGATTGGTAAGTTTTAACAGAATTTTCCATAGACAAATAACGTTAAATATTTGAACTTTTGGCAAGTAAACACGAGGGGAAAATTTTCAGTGCTAAGAGAATAAAATTTACAGTCCTGCGAGAGCTCCGGATGCGCGCGGAAAATAAATAATTCTTTTTGCCAAAATCACAGAAAAACGCTTGTGCGTCGGACCTCGGAGAGCGTTTAATTTATCTCTTTGAATCTATGCCAAATATAACGCATTTCTTAAATCAACGAAATGTGCTACTTCGTAGAGGGAATACCAGGAAATATTAGATTCTTGAAAATATATCACGCAGCGTTAAAACAATTGTTAATTTAGACACAACGGTACCGTGTTAATATCGTTTGCAGTTACTTACGCAAATCTACTATACATCGACAACATTTCTCTATTTGCAGTAATTACAGAAGTGACAGGTGACTGTTCCTAGTTTACGCACAGAAATAGATTTGCATATCAACGATAACGAAATGCATTTAGTAACTGATATTCTTGTGATATCGACTTTAACATTATACATGTGTTCCCTGATTATACGTAATAAGAGAGGAAGTTGGTTCTAGTTTTAACGAATATAAAAAATACTACATAATTTTTCAAACCGAAAATAATTTCTATTTAAAAAGAGACCTACAGAGGTAAAACTCGCATATACTCTTTAATTTTTTCGACAATTTATCGTACACTATTTTCAGGTAAAAACGTCTATTTTACTATTATCGAATTCAATGTTAAAATAATAAATTCGAGAGACGATCCATTTAAATCCACAAGAGATTTCAATTAAATCATCCATAGAAAAAATGCGAGCTTTGCCTTCTCTACAGTTCGTTTCATAGCAGAATCAGATTCAAGATAAGTGCGTCCTTCGTTATACCAGCATCGATAAGAGCACCTCGTAGAGCACCGCGACAGGTCGCCAGGTCGCGATTTCGCGTGTTGGCGCCGATCTGCGCCCCACGTCGAACATACTCTCTGCCCGCACCCTCTCGCTCGGGGGTCGCGTTCAGTCAGCTCCGAGCCGTGAGTGGGGTAAGTTGCGCCGCGCGTCGGCTCGTCTGGCCCTTCTCACTGAACGAAGCATACACACAACGCCGCTCCGCGTGCATCCATTTCATTCTTATCGCCGCCGATAACGAGAAACGCAATTCGTACAACGATACGATCGACGACGCGACGCGCTCGCGTAAAAAGCGCTCGCGAGGACAGGGACGCGGGTGAATGAATGGTGATCGCGTTTTCAATCGCGATCTTTTTTTCTCCGGTCGGTTTCCGCTTTTATTTCTTTCGCGACGAGTAGAAAGAGACAGGATCTCGCTCAGATTTATGACGAGCGAGGAAGGAAGCGGTACCGGTGGTAGAAACGCGGGTCGCGTGTGAACGCGGGCGGAAAGTGAACTTCGTCATGTCGAGGTGAGTTCTCGCTTCTCTCCTATTCGATCTAGTTTGCGCGACGTGATTGTGACTGCGCAATTTCTTATGTAACGTAACCGTGGAAGGCCCCTTGGGGCAAGAATATACCTCGCTCTCTTATCGGGTTTTGCAATCACGTCTGCGAATCGGTTCTCGTTGGCATTTGTAATACCGCGTATTGTTTCTACGTCCCATTTTCTTTTTATCTCTATGAATTCTTTGAACAATTTAAAATCAATTTTTTTGATAAAATTGTTAAGGCGATAAAATAGTTGATGAATTTCGAGCGATGGACGATCCATACTTTTCGACGAATTAAGCTTTACGAGTGCAAATGAATAATATCTTTTTTGTTCAATTTGCTCTCTAAACTTTAGTTGAACAAAATTTTTGCTTATGGTATTTTCGAAAGTTTGGAACCGCCTACAATAAACTATATTAAACTATTCTGCCAAACGTAAGAAGTATAGTCATACTTTTATTTTTTTGAAATAAATGTCGGTATCCGAGCTTTGAGTTCGACGATTGCTAAGTTTTAAGCGGGAAACGTAACAAGCATTTCAAGAAGTAGTTTATTATTCGAAGAGCACTCTGCAGTCTCGAGCATCTTTTTACAAAAAAAGTTTATGTCCACTGGCAACTGGCAGTAGATCCTGCTTTGCGAAGCATTTTCGTTTCATTTAGGTCGGTTTTTCTCTGGACTTTGAATAAGGATTGTCTAATGCATAATCTGCTGGCAACCCATAATCTATTATCACAATTCTGTTAGAATGTTAGAATGGGAAGCATGATCGATTAGGAATCAGAAGCGAATACCAAACGCGAATTGCAGCGCAGTTCTATGACAATAGGAGCAAATCTCTCAAGTGGGTCAACAAGTTGAGTACTCTATAGATACTCGATTTTGTATTCGGAAGCTGTGATATGATAGGAGAGAGAAAGAAGAGCAGAGATAAAAATCGAAAACGTGAGTAGCAATTATTGGTTTCGCTGCTCATTTCGTCTGCAGAAACTAGTTCGAACGAATGAAAAAATAAATTAAAGTTATTCTTCCTTTTAAATCATTGAACATAAATAGGGGAGGAGTAAAAATAAGATAATCAATTATATGCAAATATTTAAAATACGTTATATTCTAGATTGTAATTGAAAAAGGATTAATTAAACAATTAAAAATTAAACAATTACATCACGGAAGAGCGATGTTTTAATATTAATACGTCTAATTTATTCATTATATTCTGGAGAAAGATTGAGGCAATTCTTATGTTTACATTTAGTCTTACATTTAGTTGTCATTTGGTCATATTTTTTGGCTTATTAACAATGAAGAAAGAATATAAATTGGGTTCAATTCTCCGACACATTTATAATATCTTAAAAGTACCAATAACGATGAATTATCTCAAAAATTGCCGGCGACACTACTGATTTCTATTGTACTATCATCTAATGTTACTACTATTTCTTTCACAAGAGAGAATCTTGAAAACTTCCTGAGATATTAATCCCTTACTTACTTCCACCCCGAGTGAAGTTATCTCACTCCCATTTCGCGCACAGCATGCTATCTGCGCAAAAATGATATCTTCCCTTGCAAATATTCTCTCTGTGTCAAAGTTCTAGACAATTCTCGGCGATGGATACAATATATATGTGTGTTTTAATATTTACGAATGACGCTCACTCGCGAGAACTCGCATGCTGTATAACACCGTAATCTTTATGCATTATTCGGTGCTTTAAGATTTACTATGAAACTCTACGAGTGAATGATAAAGCAATCCGAGCCGTTTTTCGCATACATTGCCCGGAGTTTAGACGATGTAAAATATCAGAGAGAAAGAGAAAGAGAGCATCACAGATTTTTCCTTTCATTATTTTAAGAAAATATATGTTTCATATAATTTTTTCAACATTTTTATAACCAACTGCTAAAAAATTGTATTTCTTCTTCAGCTTTCCACGGAGTTATACAGAGATACAATTTAATCATATATTTATAGAATCGTAAACAGACGAGATGACGATGTATATATTGTATATGATTGCACCGGATGGTCCGCGAATATGAAAGCGATGTTAAAAACGAACTGATCAATTTCGCGCTCTATTTTTGTCGCAATCGATCGCAGGTGCCGTCGAACGAGCCATTGAAATGACTCTGCATTATTTTTCTCTGTCTTCCATTTTTTCATTCGTCTGATTTACGCTTGCCGTTCCGAAAGACTTCATTGTGAAAATACCACGCACAAGTTTCCCCAAAGATCCAAGTTTCCTTTAAAGCTCGCCAGCATAATACACGCGATTTTTTTTATAATGTAGGAGTTTAAATCTCTCGGCAACCTTTAAAACATTTTTAAATTCTCAGAGGGGAGATGGTCGCGCGCAGAAGAGGGATGATACTTGTCAGAGGTACTTTATTACATCCACGATCGTATCCCGTATCGCCGGTATATCTCTTCTTGCGCAAAGTTCTATTTTTGTTTCGCCATATCGATTGCCGCTCACGCTTGAAATCGTAATACCGCGTCGTGCCCGATCTCTTTCGCAAAACGACGAAATTAAGCTGGGTATTTGTCGCGGGTTGGTGAGAAAAAAAAAAGCGGTATAAGAAGAACGGTGCTAATACCCGGAAGGATAGAAGCACACGCTGTATTTTAAATTTAAATGAATACTTGTTTCGGCACGCGAGATATACACGAATAAATCGCATATCGCTGATGTCGAGAGATTCATCATTTATCGATGTATGTTTAATTCTTTTTCAGCTATTTTTCTTTTTACGGATGCAAAGTTTTTATAACGACTTGGCTACTTTCCGCGAAATCTAAATTGCAAAAATAGTAAAAATTAGCAAATGTAACTATAAAGTCATTCTTTCTTTGTCCTTTTTCTTATGCGGCTCGAAGTTCTGTTTCGTTGTATAATGAGTGCAACTCTAAATGTGGAGTGGAAATCAAATTTAAAAATTCTCGTTATATATCTTTGGGTTTGTCGAATAAAGTCTCTCGGAATGGTCAAGCTTGATATAATTAAACGCGTTAATGCAGAATAAGCACACGTGCATTACGCACGACTTTTTTCGAGTAATCATTTACATGTAAATTTTTAATTAACAATTTCCATAAAATTATTACTCTATTTTTAGAATTTTTTTAACGATTAATGGAATTTCTTAATAAATTCTGTCCACGAGATTGATACTTTTTAATTAACTATTGATAAATAAAGTTCATGTATTTTCAATCTTGAAGTTTAAATTGTTAAGTCTTGAAATGTTTTACATTCATCTCCATAATTATGTTATCCAAATAGTTGCGTTGCTTAAATTCTTGTTAAGGAAAAGACTATAATTTCTTTTCAAGAGAACTTTTGAAATGCATAGAGAGAGAGAGAGAGAGAGAGAGAGAAAAGACTATTAAACAGAAACATATACAAAATAATGACGTGTTTCATCGTCGGAAGAACTCTACAAATGCCGAAGAAATCCAATAGAGATCCAACAGTTGTCAAACAGTCTAAGGTATTTACGCTCGAATGTTTCTCTCGATGCGATTCTATCTCGAGGGATCGAATGTTTCATGCAGAATTCCTACAGAATTCAGTCGTACATTAAATATGAATTAAACCAATGGGCGGGTAACGCTTCGCGATGGCATACGAAAGTACCGGCTAAATGTTGAGTTCATCAATTAACAATCACGCAGATCGATAGTCAGATTAATTATCGTCGTTAACAGTGCGCCCGCTAGGACAGAACGATCGATCCCATTTGTCGGAACGAAGTAATTAATTGCTAACTGGTAACAACGCTTGCGGACACGCGCCGGCGACGACAGTGCTCGTTATTAATTGAGGATCCAATCGAAAGTTGCATCATATCTCGCTCGATGCAAGTCGGATTATGAAGCATCGGAGTGCGTTCTCGTGTTTTCTATTAAAATTTCTCGCACATTGCTAGGTTATTTATTCGCTTTCCTTCATCCCGGTACTTAAATTCTTTATTAAATTTTTTATTTGGACGCACAGTGTGAACAAATATAAATGATTTCTGTTATTATTAGTTTTTATGGCTATTTTTAATAATGTGAAGGATATTTTGAATCTGTCAGATTTTAATCCTAATGATTATAATGAGAAAAAAAATGGAATACCGTTTAATTTTATCAAAATATAAACCGTACTGTAAACACTTGCGAAGACTCGAAGAAACGAGATAGTGCACGCCTTGTTTTTACTGCGTTCATTATTCTCTCGCGGAGACGCAAGATCTCCTATCTGAATTAAAGAATTTTGCTATTTTCTCGGCAATATCACTAACATCGTAAATTCAAGCGAAGATCTTCCGTCCGAAAATTTCCGGTTGAGAATTTCCGTCGCGGTACGGAAGTTACGAGAGCGAGCAGGAGGATTTTGAGCTTAATTTGAAATGTATCTTCAAATTGCCGCGGGAATAAGTTGAGTAATAGCGTTTCACGTGGAAGGTAACGGCAGCCTAACACATCAATACGATAACGAGCTCGCGATATCAGAAGATTGTGTGTATGTGTTTGTGCCGCACTATTTATCTTTCGTCGTTTCTCTCGTTGATATCGCGATTGCCACGTGAGCGACCATCTTTGCAAATTTGCATACTAAAATTTATCGTTGCTGATTTATATCATTAAATTATACTACCGGCAAAAGCCGAACGAACGACGATTGGACAGGCGATTTTGATCGCCTCGTAAAACTTCTTTCGCGATTTCGACTTTGAATCCAATCCGGTGGTTAAATTGCGTCGTAATATTTCGCATATATATCCAACTACATTGAATCAGTTTTGCTTGCTTATTGAAATATACCTATATTCATATTACGCGTTTAATACATGATGCATTGTTCTCTGTCTGTCATAACATTGAATGCATCTATTATAACTCTCGATTCATTGAAGTTGATCATTATTGATTGTTTGGTCAAGCAGATTCTCGCACTCTCTTATCGTTTATATATCG